ATATATATATATATTTATTTTTTTTATTTTTTTTGCATTCAGAATAGGTCCAGATAGATTTCAGCCTATAGGGTTGCTTACATTGGATGGCCAATTTCACATGTATTTAAATACTGTATTTGTATTTAAATACATTTTTCCACATAGTATTTAGTATTGTTATATTAAATACGTTTTCATGTATTTATGCCCATCTCTGTGTTCACGCAGGCACTGTAAGAGGTGTTTATGGACTCGTTTTGTCTCAGACGACAGATGTGTGTGTGTGTGTGTGGTGTCTTTAAGAGGACTTGGAGGCTCATTAGTGAGGACGCAGACTTCACTTTGATTTAATTTACTACTTTACTACTACTAATTTACTACTACTCTCTCTATAGGTTCGATCTGGTCATGTGATCACGCTCAGTGCTAATATGTGATGTGTTTTATGTGAATTCTTCAGTTTCTTCATTAAAGTGTCCCAAGACTTGAACCAAAGCAACCAGAGATGAATAACATTACAAAACCTTGATTTGAACAAAAAAGTGTGAACTTTTTTTTTTTGTTTGTTTAAGAACTAATCCAATTAAGTGTTGTGAATTATGTACAGAAGTTCAATCAAATATTACAGTATATACATATAATTTTTACTTTTTATTTTATTTTTACTTTTCAAGCTGAAAGGTGTACATTTTTAAGCAATTAAACACATTTTTAATAATGAACTTGAAACGTGTGACTGCTGTATCAACATATATCATATCGTAATCTCTGAGCTCAGAGTAGGTTTGTTTTGAAAGGTTTATGCAATATCATTAAAATCTATTCCTCTGTGGTGTAAATGAATGGCATTTTTACTTCTGGAACCCTACTGTTGTGCTCTATTGAGGACTAAGTGGGCCTTGTAGAAGCATTTCTCTTTAGTATAGCTGTGAAAAGAAACAGATTCATTCATTAATCTGTGGATTCCAGAGCATTTTAAAGACATAGTCACAAACAAGCATACGTGCACACACACACACAGGGTAATTAAACTCACATCACATTTTTCATCTTGCATTCATTAATGAATTAGCATATTCTCTCTCTCTCTCTCGCTCACACACAAACATCCTTTAATAGAAACCATAGCACGTTACAAGTTGTAACAATTACATACAATTCGGTCAGGTCGTCACCATCTAGACTCCCCACAGTCAAAGCAAAAAGAGAAAACCTCTCTGATTTCCTGCACATTTTCCCTAAAACATCACC